TTACTTCAGCGAGCCGACCAAGACCCTTCTTTTTCGCTCCCAATTCCTCCCTCTCCAAAGGCTTCTCCTCCTCAGTTGTTTCATCAGGAACCTGCCACTTGCGATTCGAAACATGCTTGATACAACACAGATAGGAGTATACCTCCACAACGATCCTTCCGTCCTCCTCCTTCAACACCTTGCTGCTACCCAGAACTGATTTCCTCCGTTTTCCCTCAGATTCCCTCACGCCTTTCTGGCCCCCATGTCCCAGCAAATCCAAAGGCTCATCTCCAGTCTCATCGATGATGAAATTACCCTTGCCACTCTTAGTGCCCTTCGCCACTCGGTGCCGCTCATCCTCCTCGTCTTCATCAGAGGACTCGTCCGATGTCGTCGATCCACCCTAAGAACCATTCCAAGTGGATTCATGTGATTTAACAACAATATGCGACGTTGCTGTTCTCTCTATCACAGTTTTTAACGTACGACGGGCTAGTATACCAGTTCACCACTATAAGACTTGGAGCTGTTATTAATCTCAAAGTTCTGCCAGAAAGCCGTCATAACTATCCTGGTGAAACCGAATCAGGACAACTCATAAGGCGCCCCAGGCCCAGCTCTAGTCCCAGAGGGCAGTGAGCAACGCCCTGGACCTGTCCAGTAGCAACTGCGACTCACCTCTGGCCTCTCCCTCTGCTTATCAGCCTCTGAGCGTTCCATAATGCACCGACGCCTCTCACGTTCAAGTTGCTTTTGGACCTATCAAAAGACTTCCAACCTCGCCGCGAGAGTAAAGACAACTTACATGCTTCACCAAGGGGCGATGCTCCTCAGGTGTAGCCGCCGCCAGGTCTGCCCATCCGACCCTTTTGCCCAACTTCTCCATCAACCTCCTCATACCCATCTTCAACTGCATCTGATTCTTCCCCTCCGCGCTCAAGGTCAGCTTATGGTACATCTCTAGGCATTCACGGTTGAGGCCGTTACCCACACGGAGACACGACCGAGTCTGAAAACCCTCAGCTGTCACCACACGGTAGACCAGTATATTACGAAAAGCAGCAAACTCTTGAAGAGGGGTTTCTCAATAGCTCTACCGTCGGCCCGTACCAACAGCACAGTCTTGACCACCTCCCGCAACAGAGACGCTCTCTTCGTCGCCTCCGAGGGCACAGCCGAAGCAGCAAAAGGATTACTAGCGGTAGCAGCGGAAGTTACGCCATCAGCACCCAATGGCCAACACTGCTCCACCACGAGACCTGTGCGTTGAGGAAATGCAAGAT